GATAACCTCTGTCTTCTGCATTCCTTCCGCGCTCTCTCCCCCCTCCAGTTCACACTTCTTCTCCTTGTTCTCTCTCTTCCCTTTAATGTTTACCTCCTCCTTCTTATCAGCTGCTATTTTTACTATCTCCTCCTCCTCCTCCTCTTCCTCTTCCCAGCCCTCCTCTCATCTTCCCCCCCCCCCCCCCCCCTCCTTTTTTTAAAATCTGCACAACAAAAGCAACTCGGCCTTAACTGTTGCAAATTCTCTTCATGTCTCAGCAAGCAAAGAACAAGGATTAAAAGTGTCTAACATCAAACTTAACATTTCTCTCCTCTCTGGAATTAACATTTTATGTCTTTGATCTGAAAAAAAAATACCCCAGGTGTTTTCGCCTATAACACCTTCTTGTACACCAGCAAGTAGAGACAGAGATTGGATTACTGGCAGCCCAAATTGTTTTCCCTCCTTTTTATACGTTTGGTGTTGTGAAGCCATAAGCTTGTTTGTTTATTAATGTAGGATCAGCCTTTTTTTTTTAAATGTTTTTGATTGGCTCCTTTTGTGCCGTAATGAGCAACTTGAGCTAAAATCCGTCCATTAGCAGTTGATATATTTATACTGTCACAAGCCTCGACGTTTATGTGTCAGAGGTTTTCAGTGGCTCGCCTCAATCACCAAGCTGATGAAAAGAACATTGACAAGTGGCGAATTATTTCCCACAACGCAATGTATTACAAACACTGCCTGAAATATAGCATCTGTGAGTTTAAAAAGTGCCTTTTTTCCCCCTAAGATTGGGAAACTATATATTTTTGTACCTAATCTTTGAAGTGCCAATTTTCTGTCTCCCTTTTATCTCGCCAAAAGCTTTTTTTTTTTTTTTTAAGCACAAAAAACTAAATGCCCATGTTTTTTTTGTTTTGTTTTGTACATACTCTTTTTTTTAAAAAAAGAAACTGGGAAAGTTTGATCAAGAGTTGGAAACTTGGTCGCAGACATTTCCCACCATTAAACTGTGGTTTAATGGGTCCTGTTTTCAATTTGATCAACTGAAAACGTTTGATTGGACCACAGTATGCAGCCAATGTCTGTTTGCATACTGCTGCCATCTCTGGCCGAGGTTCTCAGTGCCTTTTCAAATCTGTCGCAGGGCATTGTGTTTTTATCTACTAACTACCTTCTCACCTGTCAATCTTTTATTTTCCTTCTGTTCTGTTTAACAAACATTCCTCCAATGAGTTAAACGGCAGGTTAACCAATCAGTATTGGTCTCAGCGATGTAGCACTCAGGTGGTTAAATGGCAAATGCTACCAAAATACAGAATGAGAAAAATTTTAGCCCCACTGGATTTTTTTTCTTCTTTATTTTTTTTGACTGTGATAAAAAATATACTTATTTTTTTTCCTAAAAATTATACTAGTATGGTTTATACTGCAAGTTCCTCATCAATATAGTGGTGCACTAAAATCTGTGAGATTTTTTTTTTGTGGAGTTGTAAGTTTTTATGTGAAGTAGCCTTTATTTTGTTTTGTGTTACCTTGTTTTTATAGAGGGTTAGACTGAGAATATTGAATAGGGTGTAAAACATGTAATGCCAGTTTTTGTTGCTCACACCAAAAACAAAAAAAAGGAAAACAAATGTCATGTGTGCAATAAAGAACCATATTTACAAGCTTCTCACTGACTGCTCTACCTGGACTGGTCCTTTGCTTCTTCGCTCTGCTTCTTTATCGGTGACATCATGTCTTTGGATTTGCTGTGACTTTTTGACGTTAAAAAGGTAGGTGCGGCGCATTTGCAGGAAATAAAATGTGAAAGTTCAACACTGGCAAAATAACTCTCGCTTAAGCCCCCGAGAGTGAGATCAGGCCCCGTCTCTTGGATTTTAGTGCGATGTTGGTTAAAATGTTGGAAATGCTGACCTTCTGCGAGGGGTCATAGCAAAAGCTTTTCTTTTCTGGAGATGGTATTTAGCAGCCAACTCCATTTTTGGCAGAAGTTATTATAAACTGACTTTTTAAAACGCCGGTGCTAAGGAAAACAACTGGCACATAAATCCTCAGATTTTCTCTCCATTTCTATAGTCCAGTCAATCATTCTGCACCTCCAGCAACCATGCATGACAGATGACATGAAGTAGTGTGGCATCAGGTTAAACGCTCACACCGAACACTGACACTATTTAGAGACGGATCTATTTTAATAAAGGCTGACAATACACAGTCGGCGTGTTATCCCTGCACACGGTGAACTCACCGCCGAGGTCAGCCACTCACTAAAAGCTGCACGTCGCACTAAATGCTAATTATAATCATTAAATGTCATACATAAGTCAAAATGTTTCTCATAGAAGGAGACTGAGATTCTGGAGAAAAAAAAAAAGGTATTTAAAATTCTGTGTTTCAAGCCTCCACCAGCATAATAAAAGTGATTGATTGATCTCAAACTCTGTTTTCCATCCGACCCTGATACTCAGAAAATATACTTATCACTGTGATACTTTCTGACATACGGTATCCTAATTTTAATGAGAATTTCTTATGAACAAAAAATATTTTGAACAACTTCTGTTTGGAGTCAAAATACAAAAGATTTCCATGTTCTATATCTGGAATCTGAGTTAACTCTTTGTGCAGCACTACACCTCCCAAATCCAAAATCTATTTGGATTAATGTCATTGGAGCTTAAGTAGTTTGTTCATAAGAGGTCTAACAGGGGGATTCTGGTTTCTAATTGACCTCTAACGTGATTTCATCACAATGTATGATAGCATACTGTATGTTTCTTTGTCTGTGAATGACTCTTTGGCAAACAAAATAAATATTTGTTCAGGTTAATGAAACATTTCCTTATTTGGTGAAACAACAATGCTTCATGGTCATTCCAGTGTTATGTCACCTTCCTCAAATGTACAAGCTCCCATTGCTGCAAAGGAAAGGGTTACAACTTAAATACTTTTTTCTGCATTTGATTTTAATAAAGTCAGAAGAACAATTATTTATAGAATGGTGAGGTCTGTGGGACCCCAGTCGAGGGTTAAAGATTACATATTAAATTGTCAAATACATGGATTAGAAATAGTACCCAGACAATTTTCCCACAATTAAAAATGATACACTGTTGTAAACATTGCATTTGTTATAATAAGGCTGAAAATAAGCATACATTGAATTAATCAAAACAAACACAACTCCATTTTTCTTCCCTTATTTTGCGTTGTCAATATGAGATGTTCGCTGTAGGCTACCACACATCTTCCCAGACATTCATACTGATTATCAAACACATCATGTCAACTCTGGGTTACTCAGGGAGTCGGGTGCATGTAAATGTGCCTCAGAAGCAACAGAATTCTTAATCTTGCAATGAAAGTAATGGCAATCTGCCACTTGAGTGGGCAATTATCACTTTCTTCCTTATCAAACCGATGAGTCAGTGCTGCATTTACACCAGTATGCAACTCCTGAGGGCTTCCTGATGACTTACGACCTGTGAGGAGGTGAAGTGAGCCAGCTGTTGCCACACTGTGAAAGTAGAGCAGTGCAGATGTACAGTCACAATCGGATTCCCACTCTTTTATTTGATGCAGTAATAAGAGAGTTTGAAGTGGACGTCTCATTACGCCTTTTCCAAACGACAGAGACAAATCCTCTCTTTTTCTCTCATCTTCTCACTGGAGGACAGAACTGCTGATGCTGAATGGGACGGTGGGGAGTAACGGGTTCGCGAGGGGGGCTGCTGGAAGTGACTTTAATGTCATGCAGGAAGTGGCGGGGTGCGAGAAAAAGAGCGGAGAAGCGTAAGGGAGGAGGTGGTGGAGGGTGCTGATGGTGGCTTTGGCCCCCGGGAAGATGCATCAAAGGAGCATTTGTCGCAGAGACCAGCTGGGAGACTAATCAGAGAAAGAGAACTGGGGGTTTGTGTGTGTGCTTGTGTGTGTTTTGAAGGGGTAGAGTGGAAGGGTTGCATCAGTAGTGACAGATGAACCAGCTTCCTGTGGAATGAATATAGGGCATTCATCAGAGTGCAGCTGTTTCTCTCTCTGTGTCTTGCTGCCTGTGTGTGTGTGTGTGTGGGTGTGTTGTTGGTGTTGTGTGTTGTGTGGTGTGTGTGTGTGTGTGTGTGTGTGTTGTGATGAGAGATTGAGAGAGGGACGAGAGAGAGGATGAGTTGTTTTAGAGTGCACAGTTGTTGCAGGTTTTAAGCTTAGATTGATGAATGAAGCTCTATAGTTCTTTGGGCACCTGTGCCGAGTGACACAGTCTAGCAGCTGGATTTTGGTGTGTTTGCCTCTGATTGTGAGCGTGTGTGTGTGTTACAAAAGAATAAGAAAGTGAGACAAAGAGGCAGACAGTAGAGGGGAGAGCAGCAGTTTTATTTATCTTGTGGCTAGAGAGGATATTTCTCCTTCAGGAATCAGTAACAGTCATTTTGTGTCTCTTCCTGAAATTCATCACTCCGTATTGTAAAGCACAGGTGATTATGTCCTCTCAAAGAGTATCTATCTTTCTGAGAAAAAGCTCTCCAGAAGATTTCCTGCTTCTCTTTCACAGCTGCAAATAATATGTCAGGGTTGTCGGTAGATATGTCACATGATCTCCTGGTTCAGAAGTCCTTCTACCAGGGAGGGAGGTTCCTCTATTTCCTAACAAACGTTTTTTATTGTGATTTGTCCGTAACCACGTCTAATCAGACAGGTCAGGTGACGTTTCCCTGGTCAGTCGTGTTCTCGCTGACACACAAATGTCACCGTAAGAAGTCAAATCGTCGGCCCATCAGTCACGTCAGACCACACCAGCAAAACGATGAATCTTTCTGGCCTGTCTCGCAGGCAGTCCCGCTGCTTTTGTGCTGTTTTTGTATTGAGTGATCTAGGCAG